ACATTCTATTTCAAGTTCTAGTTAACCGATTTACTTCAATTTGAACCAACTTTCAATATATAACTTTACATCACCCTACTATTTTTGTATCAAAATTATTTTGTTTACCATTTTAAAAAATTAAAACTTTTGACAAAAAAGTCGAAAAATGCCTTTTCAGACAACCGCCAATTTACCAGAAGAGTTGCAATCGTATCAACCAACCCTTTTTACCCCTTTACCAGCTTATAACTTATTTAATTTTATATATTTTCAAAATATCAATATGTTGTAAAAAAATGATGGTAAAAATATTTTTTGTTTTTTTTTAAATCGAGCTCGACAAAACGCCCAACATTTATGACTAGACCAGAATACCCCCTTAAATAATTTCTTTTACACTATGATAAAAGTAATCCAAACTATTTTTTCACTTCATGTCTGGAACTGAAACTCCACTTAGATGATTTATGTTTTCTATATACTTAATTCATCGCGCACAATGATAAACACCCAGACATGAAATTAAATTCAGCAACTATGCAGATTTCCGCTTTAAAATAAAATAACAACAAAATGCTTGCGTGTATAATTAAAATAACAGTAGTTGCATTCGTATGCCCTTTATGCGGATATTCAAGCCGCCGTTTGCATAGAGGAAATTTTTTCGAACCCCATTAAACTGACAATTAAAATAAATACTACCTTCAATTCTTCCGGAGTACACATTTATGTTGCACTAAATACTGACACAAGGAACATAGAGCTGATTTAATACAGGCACCACTAAATTATAGACTAATAATCGCCCACAACAATTAGTTATACAGAGTGTTTTATAGCACATTGCACATAAAAACTTTTACTTTTGTTTAATATTAGAGATATTTGGCAAGCGCATCGCGACCATACCGCTGAACGGTTAATTGAAAATAGTTTGGAGTTATTTATAAATTTTGCACAACCATAGACGACGGCATTTCTATAAATAACGGGATACTTCCTGACTCCCGCAAGAGAGAAATGAATATTGTGATGAGAGGAAATTTCGTTCTTTCGGGCGAGGGTGTGCGTTAGGTTATGTGGTTGCCGGCTGTTGGGGTGGATTCGGTGGGGATCGATCCAAGACGCTGGAGCAGGGAAGCTGACAAAAGATCGGACACGTATATGCGTAGTAGTGCATTGTATCGGAATATCGATACCTAAGGTCCTTAACGTATGAAAGAAAATCCGTGAACTACCTATTGATTTTACTGGATATCTCTCTTTCTTCAGATTACAATATCCAATAAGTGCGAGGATATATTTTCAACTGTTAAATTTACCAATCAAATTTTTAGATATTCTGTAAAAGGTGTTTTATAATAGACTGTCACTTCAGTGACAGTACCAACATCGGTCAATATTTTTTCTCATAGATCGTGTAAATTATTATATCGTTCGTTCATCATGCCCCACGGCAAAATCCATATGGAGGCAAAGTTCTTGCCCACTATAAAATAAAAATAACTTATGTTAAAAAAATACCCTTTGTATAGAACACATAGGTATCATAAAACACCTTTTATAGTATGTACAGTATCCTCTTCTTAAAATGTTTAAAGATCCGAGAGTACTAAAAAGAGCTACAAATATTCTTTTGGTTCTATCATAAGAAAATTTAGCAAAACTTTTTCTAGGTCAAAAAAAAATAAAAGCAGGTAGAACATCTTTGTATATTTATTGTAATTTATTGTTTTTGCTGTTATGATATTTCAGACGGACAAAATGACATAAAGATAATTGAACATTCATTTAAATACAGCGAGTCCAAATTCCAAATTTTGAAAAAAATAATCTGTATATTTTATAGAAAGTTACATAGAATTACAAATCCTCGTCCAAATCTAAATATTCTTGCCTGCAAACACAAAAACATGTATAAAACTGCATTGGAAATGTTTGCATAAAAGTGCATCTGTTTTCTGTTTTTGATCATGGATGGAAAACAAAAGTTTAAACACAAATATGTTTGTTCACAAATAAGCGCTAAATCACAGTGCTGCAATTCTAAATTTGGTATTTTAAATGGATATAAATGAATAGGTCTTTTTGAGTGAATGTCATTCTCAAAATATATCGGGATCCCATGTCATCATTTATTTTCAACTCACACTCAAAACGTCTTTTACTATTTCTTCTTCAGAAAGAGCTTCAAAAATTTCTATAGCTACTTCACATTGGAATACTTATACTCTTTGAAATATTAAACTGAATGAATAATATTTTCTGCAGTCGATAGACAAGTTCTGCCCTTAAAACTTTCTTTCAGGAGCAATCAAAAAACATTTCATTAACGATCTGTTTTTTTTACGTTTTTGTTTTTCTATCAGGCATTTGTTTAAAATATTTGTACATAAAAATTGTTTGTAGATCTGGACTAGGTTTTAGAAACATTTCTGTGATCTGAACTGACTGAAAACTAATTTCAGTGGTACTTATTTTTTAATATCCTATATTTTAGATCAATCAGAGAATATATTTAATTACGAATGAGACAATATATAATAAATCATATACTTTATTGGAAAAAAAGTTTGCATACATCAACTGTCATTTCTAAAATAAATTCCGAATGTATTCACATGGCAACTGAATTAGAAAAGAAATATGTTTAGGTTGCCAAATTTTTTGTAAATGTTTTATACATTTACACGGTAACTAAAATAGGTATTTATTTAAATACTGACATACAAAAGCCATCACATTCCATTAAAAATATATTGACGACGTCATAGCTACAACCAGTTTCACCCAGTATACATAAAATATTCACAAATGGCAGTTAATAATAAAAAATTGACTTACTGTATTTTCCAAAAAAAAAAATATATGATTTATATGTACCCATATAAAAACAATAAACTAAGAATCAATACTCCTGACCTTTTATTTGGTTACCTTCTAATAATTATTATTATAGTCTCAGTCGTTATTAAAATTATTTGTTTTTGTATTCTCTTTAATAAATTAACTAAAAGAAATTGGAAACGATACTTTGCAGCATTAATTTTTCTTCCACATCTCACTTATTTGAACAAAAGTTAAAGAATACTGTTATTTTGACTGCACTTTGACAACCAGCGATAGGTCTAAAATAGTTAGGTCCAAAACATGGTCTAAAAAATGACGATATAATTATCACTTTTCAAAAGGTAGGCAATGAACTTGTTTCTATATTGTAGTTAGAGGAAATGAATTTTACAATTGTGATTACATGTTCCATCCGAAAGTACCTAAACATACAGAATTATAGGGATAAAGACATTTAAATTTGTAAATTATAACTACCTCCTTTGTCACTGTCATGCCTAAATAAGTCTTTATTTGAATATGTCAATTAGTATTATTTGCTTCCTTAACCATTTAGTTATAATCATTTATAGGTCAATACCTCGGGATTAATATTAGCTCTGCGTTAATATTTCAAACATGCTATTTTATGATCCAGATGAAAGAACGTTTCGAGCATATTAAAGTAGAACGATCTCAAAAAATTATAGTACGAAAAATTATCGCTCATAAACACTTCCAGTGAAAATTTTGATTATATTTACATGATTTAATGGCATGTGCCTATCTTGTTTAACAACCACTTACACATATATGTCGACAGTAGTGCATGTATCCAAAATTAATCTAAACCAAAACACAAAAGCCATATGGTTGATTTCAAAGGTTCATTCTCATTCGTGATAATTTGACATGATGCAGTATACATTTCTAGTTCTATTTTAGTTCGGCAAATGATTGAATTTCACTGTACAACTTGGAGTAACAAGGCAATAGGAATCTAGTTAAATAAACGAATACTAAAAATACATAGAATATGTAAACAGATATGTTAGAAATCATATGAAATGTGTTCATTTACAATGATTTATATTTAAAGGGGATTCCTGTATTTCATAAAATTCTCAGGAATGCAATTATTTTAGTGTTTATTGTGTTTCGTGTTACGTTAAAAGTAGGTATATCTAACAAAACCGTTGATCAGTAACCGGAAGTATAATGACCTGTAACAAAAACGGAGAAACGAATTTATGTTCCACAATAGTTAATACTTAATCATTTTTTATTTGTCTATAATTCTGTAGAAATGCAACAGATCAATTATGGATTCCACAGGAAGTGTGAAATTTTAAAATTTTTTATTTAATTTACCATTTTCTAAAGTTACGTTTTCGGATAGAGTAATTTTTTCCTAACACATAATAAAATGCAACCAAAGAACATTGGGTATTACTTTTTCATATTTTTATAATTGCAAAAATGTTTTCCCCAAATGGTAGGTACTGTAAGACATGGATTGACTTTAATTTTTTTCATCGTATACTTATCAAATAAACATAAATTATGTATATAAATGTAGGTGCTCTATGTAAACTGTAAACCTATAAAAAAACAGAAAACTTTGAAGGTCAGCCTTGGTTTTCGAAGTATCCACTAATTTTTTTGTTAAAAAACTATACTGTTTATGTATGACTTATTTGAAAATTATGATTTCGAATTTCATTTGCATCTACGTTAAAGCTAACCTTCAAAATTTCCTGTTACTTTTTTAATGTTTAATTTATATTTGATATTATTCTTATATATCAACCTTGTTCAGATTTAGTTATATATTTGTGTTAACCTATTATTTAAAAATCTTTTGAAAAACTGCAATTTTTACTATAAAATAAAATCATATCATCATTGAACAATAATTAACTGTATGAGTCTATATGAAAGAAAATAAGAAAATTTTACAAGTTTTTTTTTTCAAAAAATCGTTTCTAAAAACAGTCATAGGCGTAGAAGTTACGCTTTGAGAAAGGGTCAGAAGGGTTGCAAATTGGAATGCAGAGTTATAATTATATTAATTTTGTTTTTCTCAAAAATCAAAAATAGGAGAAAAATTTATAGAGTAAAATGGTTTTTGTTTTCCAAAATCAACCAAAATTTGCACAATCTAGTAACAAGAACAAAAGGAGCCCTACCTTGACCTTCTCGATGGCCTCCTCGGGCTCCAGGTTATCCACGGACTCCATGGGGTTCTCAATCCATTCGCGCACCAGGTCAGTGGCTTCCTTGTACTGCTTCCACAGGTCGGCGGCGTGGCTGTACTTGGTGCAGAGGTCTTTCAGGTTGTTGCAGGTAGTGTTGTACGCGGTGACTGCCTCGTTGACGGCCGCTTCGACGCGGGCCGAGACTTCAGGTGAGCAGCTGTCCGCTAGCGGCTTAGCTGCGTTCTTCAACTCCGCAACCAGGTTTTCGCGAGACTCTAGGTCTCCGGACACGCTCTAGAAGTAGATCATTTTTAAATAATTTCAGTCTTTGGTCTTACATTTTAAAAAAATCCGCACAGTAATAAAAAGAAAATCATACAGGGTGTTTGAAAACTTTTTAATTAATATACTTTCCAGTCAGTCGAAAAAAATATCAAAACTATAAATGACTTAAATGACCCTTCAAGACAACATTAACCGCTTCCAAAATTACTTAAAATTTATGTACCCATTTCGCAGTAAAACTAAGTAGGATTGTATACAAAAGTATTTTTATACAACTATGGGTAAGCATTAAAATCTAATGTCATCTTTAATTTATTTTATTAAATTTGAAAAAATAATGAAATTTTGAAATAATAATAATTTACAGCGCAGTGACTTAAACGGAAAAACGGGTTGCAAAATATTTCCGCAAAATATTACATTTTTCCCTAAAACAGTTAGGATAGGGATCGATTAAAAAAAATTTTTTTGGAAAAAAGTGAATCTTTATTTGGTTAAGGCGCAAGGTAGAATTTCATTACATGTCAAATATTTTTCGAAATATTTGACACTTACGATCCTTATCAAAAAAAATGATCTCCCTGTAACTTGTGAATTAAGCAACTTTGAACTAATATATTATTTGTTCTATTTTCATTCTTTAGTCTCAAAATTATCTGGTAACATTTACAGTCCTTAATTTAAATACACCCTGTAGAGGTTCCCAAATATATTTTCATAGTATACGTAAATACATTTTGGCAACAAATTGAAAATTAAAGTTACAATACACAAAAGTTGTTAACAGTTGCCACACATTCTTCTTTTGTTTAAATTGTATCTTATGCTAGGGTTAGATTATCTATGAAAATTTTCCAATAAACCCATATCGATATAAAAATACATATAATTTAGGAAACGGAAAAGGAAGCGGCGTGGTTTATATCATATCCAAAATACTTGACTTATTTTAATCTGAGTAAGATAGTAGCTCATATAAAATATATTTCGTATTTGTATTTCTTACATGCCAGTTTCAATTTCCTTCCGAAATTAATACATATTTAGCAACCAGTCTACCATTGTAAACATAAATTTTAGGTTCATTCAAAATTCGATTCATGTATTGTGAATGAAAAACAATTCCAAGAAGAAAACAATGACAAAAGGATCAATTAGAAAATATTTAAAAGAGTATTAACTTATTTGGATAATTTGTTAGACTTTATTATTTGGGGTAGGTATATTGGGGTATATTTTTACCGAAGTACCTAAGCCTCTTGATAATATTTTGTTTATAAGAGGTAGAACGGATTGTCAACACTATTTAGTTTACTAATGTATAAATGGCATCAAAATAATAATTTGTATAATTATCTACCTGTTTATTTTTTAATTTAATATTGAAGGATATAGGTAGTGGAAAACAACATAATGATTTTGAAAAAGTTACTTCAAAAGAATTCAATTATGAAACAGAAAAAAATAAAGAAGCTGTGTTTCATGGATTATCAAAATTAAAAAAAAAATAAATGTTATCAAATGTAAATTATATGTATAGAGATAAGTTAATTAATTGATTTTTTTTTCTGGCAACCAAAATTTTTTTATGAGGATCAGACAAAATAAACAACTTTTTTTTTCTATTATGTACTTTTATACCTACTAAGCTTTCATTAGAAATATCATTGAAATTAATACATTCAGTTTCGTTACAAAAATTAGCTTTTTTAAGATAAAAAGTGAAAAATCGGTTTGAGAAAATATTTATGAAGCTAATCTAAGAACATGGAGTAAAGTATAATCATAGATCCCTTAAAATTCAAAATTAACTGTAAACGTACGCGACTGTTTACAATTATCTAATTTTAAAACCCTAGACTCTCAGGAATTCTTTCTTATAAATAAAACTGAGGTAAGTACGCTATACTTCCTTCTTAAGCACAAAACCAAAGAAACATGAATGGAAATAATTACGACATAGTTAAGATTCTCCAAAGTTACTAGACCGTAAAGAAAATAAATAGAGATCTTCTACGAAACAGTTTTGTAGACAAAACCTAGTTTCGCAAATTATAACAATCTAGGTTTGGATATCTAGAAATAAAAATAAAAAATAATTTAAATATTGTTCAAAAAACATTCGAAGTTCACATCTGTGGGGATCTCTAAATTTATTTACCATAGCAATATGTTCTTATCTTGTACATAAATAAATTTAACAATTCAACGTTTGCAATTACATCATAGTGTAAATTTAATTCTTTGCTAATTTGTCAATATTTAAGTAATGAGATATATAATGCATCTAGCACATATTTTTTCGTTTTTTCAGCGATAAATTCTTGATTAAAAGTTCATATTAAATTAAATTTTAATTTTAAATCTGAACTGAGTACTTGACCGGACGATTACACATATTTCTATAACACGTACCTATTTATATTATTTACTCTTCGATATCATATTTACATATTATGGTATTTTCCTAATATATGTATTATAATTTAACATTTCAACAACAGAAAAAAAAAAAAAGATTACTTGACTCGCCTACAATATTTTAAGAGGTTTTTGAGGATTTGTTTAACACACGATTTAATATTTTTTTTGTACACCCCCATACAAATACAAGATCAATTGTAGTTCCTGCTTGAAGTGACACTGAAGCAGGAATAGTCCTGGATTAAAACATTTTCCATAGGTTAAGACCCTAATTATTTATTACTTTGAATACACCGCACAATATATTCAACAATCGTCACTGCACCATTTAAACTTTTTAACGGACGTCAACGGTTTCGCTACTCTTTAAATGCGAACATGATACTTGTGTCAATGTCTGGTAAGTGATAGCAGACGCGCACCAACCAACTTCCCGTGGACTACTGAACTGTGATTTAATTCATTAACATTTTAAGGCTTATTGCTACTTTGAAGCGCAACTCGGAAACTTCTCTTTTTCATAGTCTAACAAAGCGCAAATTAACTATTTTTGTGCCAGTACAGTTTTTCTAGTAAGTAATGAAAAACGGATGATGTATTTATAGGAATGTCTCCAAATGTTCTTCGCCTTCTCCAAATGTATTTCGTAAATGACCAATTTGATGTGTAGCACCATTTCGTTTCATTTTTGTAAATTCAATTTCAGAAGCCGTTATTAACAATTTTTGAAAATGTTAATGAAATTTAAAAAAAATATTAGAACACAATTTTGAATTTCAGAAAACACCAAATGTATTTCAGGTAATTATTATTAGTTACGCCATTTACCAAACGTAATCAAATGCCGTATCGTGTGGATGCTGCACATCGCGTTGCAATTGATAAGTGTAGTACATAGAACGTTTTTATTTCACATCATGTGTATGAAGCAACTTGGCGCTACGGATTTTAACCAAATAATCCGCAAATATTTGATACATTTCTGTTTGACTAATGTTTGGCGAATTACCTCATCATCTAGAGCCGGTTTTATTAGCGTTACCAAATATTATTGTATAAAGCCTTAACAATAGAACATTCACTTTACATGATGTTTGTGGGTTTTATTTTAAAATTTAATTTGACATAGACTTTATATACGAGTAACTCAATTAATAAAATCCTGTTTAAATTTGTTTTGGTAGACAGTGAACAAACATTTTCATATAACAGTTAATAGGTAGGTACATTAGCATAGGATAAGTTTGCATAACTTATTTTATTTTTTCTGAAAAACGTTTCTGAAACAAATTTGACACTTTCTGAAATACGTAAGACGTATACTTTACATTTTCCGAACTGGATATTTTGAAATAAAATTACGCGACATGAAATACATATGACTAATCTAAAATTCAAATTAAGCTTTTCTGAAATAAAGTAAAACTAATGTAAAATAGAAGCAACGCAAAATACATATAGAATACATACAGAAAAGCTGTAGTAACTGACAAATGTAAAAATAATAATAAGATTTCCTCTGTTGCTGTTAAGATATTTGAATGGGACAAAACAGATGACCAAAATACCGAATTTTTTAGAAGAAAAAATACATCGTATATTTTGGCTGAAATCGAAATGTTACTATATTATTATAGTATTTTTGATTAGCCTTTTATTTTAGTTGTTCGAAAGAGTATATTTAATTGCAATTTCTGCAATATATATGTTATACTTCTTATATTTTACAAATTTAATATTCAACGAAATAAACATTTTTGTTTATGATAGTCGCAGTCTGATAAATTTAGGAAGTGTGCTCTGAAAAACAATTGTTGCCAAAATTTCATTTTTTGATGCATAAATATTTATATTTCTTTGATTATTTCACTTATAAAAAGATGGAACTATGACATGTTATATGTATATCGCTGGATTCATAATTGTATCTGATATAACCAAAATATCGGAGTTTACTCAAAAATAAATTCTGCCGAAATTGATTTCCGGTTAAATCGGAAGTAGAACAAATGAATGACTGTCACCAACAAGTTTATAATATATATTTTTCTGCATAAAAATGTAAGATGTATTTTCCAAAACATCAAATTTTCGGCTATTTATATCTTTTTAAATTGATGTTCAATTATTTTGCTGACTTCGTGTTATGACTTCGCAAGACTTTTTATATTTGTCTTAATTTTTTCACATTTAAATATCTTACTATCAAAGTAAATCGCAGTAAAAAAAAGCATTATGGACGCTCTGTATCTACTGTCTTTTAATATAAAATTCTTTTCTTCGCAGCAAACAATGTTTCTTAGATACCTAAACATTGAATAACCCAAAAAAAACGGATGTTGCATTAAGTCACTCTCTTAATAATTAATATCAATTGGTGTGAACTGTAATAATATAACAACTTTGGTTACAATGACCTTTTGTTTGATATATGTACGTTGCATTTCTATTTGAAGTCATGCCACTGCTACCAAACTGCAATTTTCTATTTTTAATATAACCGAGATATACTCGTATCATGATGAGCCGATTTTGAGAAAAACTTTGTTTCCAAAAACTATATAATAGAACAAAACTGATGAACTAAACACTAAACACGTTTAATCCGTTTTATATCAAAATTTTCAAATAAATTTTACAGCAACCCTAGCAATTGTGGGCCTCAGTCTGTCACTAATGTCACTATCGTTACTATTACAAATGTTAATATGAACAGTATTTCTACGCATTTTACGTTGATGAGGTCATGTTTATAAATTTTAAACAAAAATTCCAAACTTGTTTTTCTTATGTAAAAATTATTATTCTTAACACCATATGAATTATTCTAATATTTTTCTTAAACAAGTTTTAAATTCACACTTGCAGATCACAAGAGCAAAAATTTATTGCACAAAAAATTGAAATTATATGCTACTTTATCAGTAATATTATTATTACATCAACATAAATTAATATTCTTTTTCTTATAGTTTGTATTTAATTATTTATTGTTCTGCAATAATCTAAAAATAATAATTGAATATGTGTATCTGAAATGTAAAAAATTTCAAAATATTGTTAAATGGTTTAATTATTCAATTTCATATTTATTATACTGGACAAGTAAATATTTATATTTAAATAATGGATAATTGTTGATATATGCCAAAATAATATTGTTTAGTCACTTAATTATTCTAGGGTACCACTATAATATCAAAATGATCAAATTATGAATATTAGTTGGTAATATGTTTACTTGTTTGAGAAGTTGTTTACAATTAAAGACAACATTAGTCACAACTATGTAATATTAAAATTTGTTGCCAAATACTATAAAAGTTTAATATCTGGGAACTCCAATTTAACACGTTTGTTTTAATTTTTTATAAATCAGTAACTAAAGATAAAAACTTACCTCTAATCGTTCGGTAGCTTTCCTTAATCTTTCATAATCTACAGTTCCCTGAACAGTGAGAAGTTCAACCATAAAATCGGCCTCTTGGACACTTTGTTGGACCAGTTCAAGTTGTCGTTCGAACCTCTGCCAGAGTGCTAAGCGTCCTCTGAGAAGGGCCAGGATTTGGCCACATCTCTTCTCCAAAGCGGTATGATCGTCCTGTAACTGGGAAATCTCACGTTCCACTTTCACTGGAGATACTGTAACCTTAAGTCTCATCGGAAGGGTATGTAACAATTGACGAAGACACATTAGGTCTTGCCAGAGAGTTACCAGTTCTTCACCTACTTCGTAGCAGTCGTTAACGGCCTTTTCTACAGCTTCACTTCCCATTTTCTCGGCACTCTCACACTGATCTAGATTTCTGCTCAATTCCGAGTGCTTTCGCCTTACTCTACTTAGTCCCTTCTGAATGGCTTGGAGTCGTTCCTTGAGAAGATTTCCGCTTTCTAGTTCTTCTGTTATGACAATCTCAAGACGTTTCGAAAGAGCCAGAAGAGAGCCGACCTTGTCTGATTCGCCTGCCGATAGCAATCCTAGGCGACCAAGTTCGTTTTGTATAGTTTCTAGCCTGGTGGACATTATCTGTAAACGTTCAACATACAGGCTTAGTTCTTCCTCTGTCTTTATTATTCCCTGTAAATTATCGATGTCGGTCTTTAAGTCTTGGAGCTCTTGTTCCAAAAGTACCAATTTCTCGTTCACTGGAATATCTGGAGCTGATATCGTGTCGATAATGGATGCTTCGATGTCTGCAATTCTTTTGGATACTTTATTCCACTGAGTATTGAGTTCCGAGTGGAATTTGCGTTGTAACATTTCATCGGAGATAGGTACAATTTGCAATGACGTTTCCAAGGACCTTGTCGCATTCTGCTTGGCAGTATTATTAACCTCATGTTGGGCTTTCAGTTCCCAGAATTGCCTGTAATGGCTCCTGGTATTAGAAGGAACTTCAATTTTCCTAAGTTGGACTTCAGCATCTCTTAACCAATATTCTACCCTGTCTGTCAACAAATTATAAGAACCCCAAGTATCTCTGAATGCCATCAACCGTTCTAAGTTGTTTTGTACGTCCTCTTCTAATTTTTGTATAATTTCCAAGGACTCAGTATACGCTTGTTCTAATCCGGAGCAGTAAACAAGTTCCTGCAATTTCTGTGCGACTGTATTGAGATGTTTCAGTTTTGTATGATGATGGTCAATATCCAGGGCAAGGGACTGATAGAGGTCTATATATCTTTCGAAATCTGAAGATGTGACGGTGTTTAGGTCAGGAACCCGTTGCTGAGCGACTTGAAGCCAGCGGATCTCTTCCCTTGTTCCTTGCTCAAGAACAGTCCATCTAGACGCCGCCAAGGACATTATTTGGAATCTGCCTGTTGACTTGTCTAAAATTACTTTAGCCCGTTCGTACAGATTTTGATGCAGTTCTGAATGAATTGTTCTAGTTTCAGAATCAAGGTTTTCCTCTAGAGATTCTAAAATAGCTCTGCAATGACTCAAATTGACGAAAAATTTGCGATGATTTTGCATTTCATCTTCTAGGTGCTCTAGATTACGTACAGAAACAGGGCTTTCTACTAAAGCTTCGGCAATGATGATAATTTGACTAAATTCTTTAAGTGTTTGTTCGTATTCATCAGCAAGGGATAAGAACTGCAGTGCCTTTTCACGTTCTATAGATATTTGCTGCTCAAGTTGTTTGGTTAATTCATTATTGAGGTATACCTCCTTAGGAATTTCCCTGGTAGGGAAGTCACGCATAAGTCCTTTTGCTGCAGCTATAAGATGTAGTGCTTTCATCATGTGGCATCTGTTGTTATTTTCTAATTTTTCCAGTTCGTTTAGCTTGGTCTGTGGTGAAGCATCAGAATCCTTAAGTTCGCTAAGTTGCCTCTTAACTTCTTGAACCAGTTGAGTAATATTAAAAACGCCGTTTATGAATTCTTCCCAACGCTTAAGATCTCCAGCTGCTAATTGCTCATTTTCTTCTGTTACCTCTTCAATGACCTTTACTTGTTGCTGTAGGGAATCAATATAACTCTTCATTCTTTGTCTATCATCGTCGTTATAAATATTATCTGCTTGTTGCATAACTGATTGCAGCTGTTCTACTTTTTCTTCAATAGTAGCAATTTCTTGTTTTAAGTCATTGAATTCTTGCACTCTTTCTCTTGATGGACCTTCTGATGTTTGTTGCCTGTTTACATAAATTCTGTATTCAATTGTTTCAAGCCAAGTTGTTATCGTTTCTACTGTAGTGATAATAGTTTGTTGGATAACCACTACATCTCTTTTCTCTACTGCTTCTTGTAAGACCATTAGGTTTTGTTGTACATTGTAATTACGTTGTTCCACAGTTTCGTCTGTAACAATTTCATTCAATGTAGCAAGATAAAGCACATCACTTAAGTGGGTAGTCCTTCTAGCGTTTTGTAGGTTTTTAAATCTTTCCAACGCCTGGGTTTGATTCCATTTAACGTTAACTTCTTTGTACAGAATCGGACCTTGCTGTGTTTCACTTTCAATAAATATCTGTGAAACCTCTTTCCTGGTTGGTTTTTGCCAAACAGAACTGCTATAATCGGGCGGAGAAAGTGGTCCTGCATCCGAAACAGGAGTTAAGGGAGTATCAGTTACAATTGTAGGAGCCTGTACCTCTTCTATAGTAACTGAAGAAACATGCTTACCCTTTCCTTTAACTTTACTTGAAATTTTCTTAGGTTTTTGTTCATCGGGTGATGCTATGGTATAATCCACAAACTGTTGCCCCGAAACTGATTTTTCTATACTCTTTGCTTCTTCAGATAATTTAATGGGTTCATCGTTGATAAAAACAACTTCCTCTTTGACATCAGAAGATTCCTTTATCTCTAATTTAGAATCTGGCGAAACCTGAGATTGTTTTTCTGCTTCTAAGAAAGCTGTGATAAATGTAGTAGTAGATTTATGAGGGGCTATATCTGATTGTAATGGAGTTTGTTCTAATTTCGTATAACTTTGATCTTTAAAATCCGTACTTTGTAATATAGTTAAGGTTTCAATAGGTTTTTGATCTTTTAATTCAGTCTCCGTCAAAATTGAATCCACAGTAAATGTGGTGACAGGAGTTCTTCCATCACTTTCAGTTAAAATGTCCTTTGAGACTATTTCTATATCGGGACTGCTTGACGTATCTTGTGGAATTGATACTGATATATTCACGGTAGTAGCTTGTTGTTCTGGTGACGGCTCTCTACTTTCTTTTTGTGCAGTTTGCGTATCTATTATCTGTTTAACTGTATCTTCGTCTATATCAGTGAATACCTTAGACACAACTTCAGCTTGTCTATCATCAAAGGTTTCATCAACACCTTTTGGATGTATTTGTTTCGGTTCTGGGATATCTTTAGGCAGCTGTTTAATTATTTCTAATTTTTCAAGACTTTCTTCCTTTGGTTCTTCTACCGTATGAACTCCCTGGATAACTTCAGTTCTTTCTATTTCAACAGTACCCTTTGTTTCTTCTCCTTGATTTATATCTGTTTGTTGCTCTTCCATTGCAGATATCGTTGATACAACTGATATATCCAATTTTTCTGGTTCTTCTTTAGATTTTGTAGAACTTTCACCCCTTTGTTTTTCTCCCGGTGTAATTTGCTGATCTGGCACTGGAGAAGAAGATCGAGAACCTCGTTTAGCAACCTCGGAATATAGATCTTTTGGATCCATCAATTCGTGCACTGTATTCTGTCTTTGGAATTCAGAAAATAAGTCTTTCTCAACACTAGATTTAATTTCTTCATGTCGTTTTTTGTGTTTTCTGTGTTTACGTTTTTTGGGTTTTTCGGATAACTCTGCATCCCTTTCAGCTTCCATGAAAGTTGTAACAACTGAATGTTTCTCGACTGGAACACCATCGACAGTCACCTGCACATCAAGTTCATCAGAAGACCATTCATCTGAATCGGATGCAGTCTTAGATATTGGCATATTCTGGTCAATATTCACAATTGTTGGAGCTGTGGTAATTGAACTGACAGTTGGTTTAGCTTCAAAAATTATCGGCTCTTTGACAATTTCCTGTTCCTTCTCATATGTAGGTGGAGTTGGTTTTTCATCCATAGATTCTGGTTCTTCCGAAGGTACTTTTATAGACGTTTCTATATGGATCTCATATTGTTCTGAAGAACTTGGCGTAGGGGTAGGTGTAGGAGTAGGACTAGGTGTAGGGAAAGTCACTTCTCCAATATCTTTAATAATAACTGGGCTAGTCTGAGTAATGGTTTCAGTAGTTTCCGTGTGTATAATTGGTTGAGTCACTTCGTGTAGAACTTCTATTGGTGGAGCTGAAGGCTCTGGAGATGTTTGTAAAGCAAATTCTGCTATTTCAGGTTTAGCTTCAGTTGCGACCTCTACAGTATCCTGCGTGATTGGTTTAGTTACTTCCTGTAACACTTCTATTGTTGATGGTGGTGAAGGTTCTGGAGACGTTTGTGAAGCTAACTCTGTTAGTTCTGGTTTGGCTTCTGTAGCAATTTCTGCAGTAGTAATTTCAGGCGATTTAGTTTGCGCATATTCCTCGTGACTTTCTACCACTGTTGTTTGAATTGCAGACTCAGTTCTTGGTATATCAACAACTTCAGGAGTAACGGTCTGTACCGATTGTTCTATTATTTCTGGTATTTCAGGAGAAGCCGTTTGCATTGATGTTTCCGTAGTTTGAGTGACAACTTTTTCTTCTGCAGATGTGGTTTCTGGACTTGTTTGTGTTAATATTTCTGATGTTACTAACTCAATTTGGGTAGAACTTTCCTGTACTATAGGTTTTACAGTTTCAGTTGTCAGTTCCTCCATTGTTTGTATACAAGTTTCAGAAGTTTCTTTAGGTGTCTCTGGAGAAGTTTGTACGGAAACTTGTTCCATTACTTTTTCAATTGAGACTTTTTCTTGTTCTAAAAATTCAGCAGTTATATTTTTATCTGGAGATGTTTGGGATATATTTTCTTGAGTGACAACAGCTTCCAACACTGGAACAGTTGTTACAATCTTTGAAGTTATCTCTTTTGGTGACTCACTGTCTGCTCGACTTGTTATACCCTCTTCTATGATTTTAACAGTACCAGGTTCAGATGGGGTAGACATAGTGTGATAAGATTCATTGGGAGATAAAATTTCTTCATCATGAGCTTCAAAAATAGTAGTTTCTGATTCAATTTCTTGTTCACTCTCTGATTGCTTTCGTTTACCCTTTCTACGTTTTTTAGTCTTTTTCGTTTCTTCGGGCTTTATTATATCAGTTTTAGGAGGTTCGTCATCTGTCAAAGGCACAGAGTCACCAATTGGAGAGGATTCATATACAGATTTGGGAATATTTGATTCCTCCGATTCTTTTACTTTAATCTTTTGTTTTCGCTTCTTTCTTCGTCGCTTCTTGTGTTCACGGTCATCCTCATCAGCTAAACTTTCATCTACTGTAGTTTTATCAGCTTCATAACCTGTATCCTTGCCTTTTCCGGAGGTTTCTTCTTCCGATTCTGAGACAGATTCGAATTCTTCTACTGTTGGTTTGGGAGTCTCTTCTGACTTTACTGAGCTTTCCGGAATAGATATTTCGGTGGACTCCGCCAGAGAAGATATGATTGATTCTGGTTTCTCTTCAAATTCTTCTTTAGGTTCAGTAGGAGTTGGAGTTTTATCTAATTCTTTATGTTTCTTTTTCTTTTTACTTCGTCGACCTCCATGATCTATGTCACTAGGAGTTGACGGTTCTTCATATTCGTCTTCAAGTTTTGGAATAATAGGAGAAACAGTTACCCCACTAGATTCTAGTTTTTCTGAGGTTATTACTGGTAATTGAACGTGAATATCTTTATGTAATACTTCAGCAGGTACTGCTCGATCCGCGTTTTCTTCAATTTTCATAGCTACGGACATTTTTGGTGTAGCCATAGTCGAATCTTCATATTTTTCTTCAAGAGAGAGGACAATATCTACAGCCTGGGTTGGTTCCTTGATTACATCTACAACTTGGGTTGATTCTTTGAATTCTTCTATAGGCTCATTTTTAATTGTTTCAATTGGTCCAATTGCTTGTAAAGGTTTAGTCATTTCAGTACATTCTATTTCTGTTTGTACTTCCAAAGTGAGAGATTCTGGTTGTTTTTTAATATCTTCATTAGTCGTAACTGCTACTAAAGAAATATCCTTTACCTTTGTTTCTTGTTTGGGTTCTAAAGGTGATGCTTCAGTTTCAGTTGGTTTTTCAATAGTTTCACTTATGCCTTTGGTATCTTCAGCTTTCAGCTGCTCTTTAGGTGGTAAAAGTTCAGCAATAGTTCGTTCACTTTCCAAGAAATCTATAATTTCATGTTTTTGTGATTTTCCTTTTTGTTTTTCAGTTTTATTTCCTACAGATGTTGTTACAGGAAGTTCTTTAGTATCTACTTTCGCTAAAGATATCTCGGGATGTTTTTCTTCCAAGGACAAAAACATTTCAACATTTCCAGATGGATGTGATGTTAATGATGTAACTTCTTCAGTTTCCTGGATTTTTATAACTTCAGATGAAGAACCATCAATAGTTTCAATCAATGGTTTTGATACTGATTTCACTTTTACAGTTTTTTGTGGTTCTGTTTCAAATTGTTTAGGTTTGCTTGTGGTAGGTTCTTCTAGTTCGATAGTACCCAATTCTTGCTTCTTTTCAAATTCAGCTCCTTGAGTAACTGGTTCTAAATCAAATGTAGTGTATTTACCCTGGAGATATTCCACAGTATCTAATGATTCTTGTGGGGAAGATTTTTCAAGTGCCACTGTCGTTCCACCAACAATTTTTTCAATAATTTCGGATTCTTTAGGTTTACTTTTAATGGATTCCTCTGATTCAACAATAGTTAATTCTTGCTTCTTTTCAATTTCAGCTACTTGAGTAACTGGTTCTAATTCAAATGCAGTATATTTACTCTCAAGATGTTCCTTGGTATCGAGTAATTCTTGTGGAGATTTTTCTAGAGCTACTGTTCCTTCAGCAATTTTTTCATTGAAATCGTCTTCATCTCCGGGTATAAGTGGACTTTGTGTTCTTGGAGTACCACATACTTTCTTAGACTTAGAGAACTTTCGTTTCTTTTGACTTTTGGGAGATCTAGTAGGTTTTTCTTTATTTTCAACAACAGGCGTTGTTGTTTCATGTTGTTGTTCTGCTGATATAAAATCTTGAATTAGTGAGGCAGTACTTTGCTGATCAATTTGTCTATCAAACACTTCTTCATAAGGTGGAGCGCTTGGTGCCGGTCTGGTTGGCGTTTTGTGTATTTCTTTAGACGGTGGTAAGATTATTTCACTGTCTTTAATATCAACTGCTTCAGTAACTACAGCTTCTTTCCAGGGAGTTGTTACGTGAGATGCTAGAGCTTCAGTTTCAAAAATCAGGTCTTTTACATTTAAAGGTTTTTGCTCTCCAGCAAATTCATGTACTAGTTCTTTTACATCTGCAGCACCTTCTACTACCCGAGTAGCTACAGTTTCAGTTTTTGAAATTGTTGGAGTCAATTCTTCTAACTCAGATGGAGTACTTGTTTGAGTTGGAACAGCTTCACATTTGACTTCTACAACAGTAAGAGTTGAACTGCCATCAGATGTTTGTGTTGTTATTGATTCACTGGTCTTTGGAACTGACTCTTTGATTTCTGTAGATGGTGTACTAAATGATGTCTGGGTTGTTGCTGACTCGGTTTTTGCATGTTCTATTATTCCTACTTCTGCTTTTAGAATTGGAAAACTGTCAGGAGTATGTGTCGTGATATCTGTTTCGACTTGTTTAGTTAACTCTGTTACCTTTGGTGTTTGATCTAAAGCTTCAGTTTTTATTTCCAAAACCGGTTCGTACACAATCGTAGTTGGATTACTTTGTTCAGGTAATGATTCTATTTGTTTTGGTATACCTACTGGCGGTTCTGTTGTTACTGTTTCAGTTTTGATAACTGGAATGGGAGAGCTCTCTGAAACCTGGCTTACATATTCGGTTTTTATTATCACAGGGGCAGGTTCAGGGTGTTCTTTTGACAGCTCAGTAGATTCAGGTTTCACTTCTGTTGATTCTTCTAATATTTGAGATGTTATTGTAATTATATCTAATTCTGTTCTAGGAGAAGTAGGATCTGTAGAATGTATCGCTTCAGTTATTATTGTGGTACCTGCTGGTTCTTTTTCAACTGAAGAACTTGTAACTTCCATTTTTTGATTAATTTCTTTGTGTGGTTGTAACTCTTTAACTGCTAATTTTTTTGCGCTAATTATAGTTGCTGCAGAAGGTTTCTCAATTGTGAATGTTGTGGAATCAATCGAGTCTGTTGGGGATATTGTCTGGTCAATTTCTTTTGATTCTTTTAATTCTTGAATTTCGCTTATTTTGGTAGTTTCCTTTGGTATAGTATCTAATACTGCCTCTGTCAATAGTTGGGTTATTTGTTCAATATCGGGTAGCTCTTTGGATACTGTTTCTACTTGTGAATCAGAAGGAAGGGGAGCTTCCACTGGAGTAACAGAAACATTTTCTTTAGTTTGAGTACCACTCGGGGACTCGTCGTCAGGAGTCTTTTTGTCTTTCTCTCTCTTCTTATCTGTACTTTGTGGTGCAGCATCGATACTAGGTGCTTTATCAACTTTACTACTTTCAAGTGGACTAAGAGCAAGCCTTTCATTTTCTAGGAAATTTCTGATGACAGTACTTTGTGATGCTGCCTGATCTTTTTCTGAAACTTGTTCGACTAGTTCAGTGACCTGTGGTGCATATTTAGGCTGGGGTGCAGTGAATGGTTCTACAACATACCTATGATCTGGATGAGATATAACTGTTACGTTTTCTGGTAAGTTTTCCATTGGCCTTCCAGTAGAATCTAAAACCACAGTAGTAACTTTTTGTGTAACTTCTGGCTCATCAGTAGAAACTGGTTCGTCAAACTGTTGCTTCTGCACAACTTTTCCATCTTCTGTTCTTGTAATATTAATGCTTACTCTTGGTATACCTTCTTCTGTCACTTCAATTTCTTCTGGCTCTTCGACCACTTCTTCAGTCACATGTTCTTTACCATCTATTATTACCGTTCTACGTATAATTCGTCGTGTTTTTCTTATTATTCTTCTCGTAACTTGCTGGACTACTGCTCTTACACTAGAACTGGATGTGTGAATTTCACTACCTTCTACGGTTATTTGCGCCTTATCAGCAGGAAGTAACTGATTGTTTTGATTGTCTACAAAGGTGATATCACCTTCATGCAGTTTAATCCCTTGAACTTCAACTTCTTCTGGCTTCAATGTAGGTCCAACTATACTATAGTGTGTTTCGGGTTCAGTCTGATATTCATGAACATCAATATCACCACCAGGAACACCAGACACAACTTTTCCGCCATATTGTTGACTGCTTACAGTTGCTTTGCTGCCATCTCCTTTGGCAACGGTCGTTTGACTCTGTTGTCCTTGTAAAGTAATTTGAGAGAACGACTGACTTACAGGTATCTCACCCTCAGCAAGCGTACTTAAAGTGGTTAATTGTTGTTGTTGCGTGGACTGTTGATGTCTCACCACAGTTCTGTGAAGTTTCTTTACTATTATCCTCTTTGTACCATCGGCATCCACAATAACTTCTGTAGTGGTTTCGTCCGGTTCAACGAAAACTGTTTCGAATGCTTGATGTGGAGCAACATTTGAGATGTTAAACTCTGTTGATTTCGTTTCTGACTCTGGACGTTTTCTATAGTTTGCTTCGACTAACAGATCATCAGGTTCTTCTACGATGGGTTGAGATTCAGCCATAGGTTTCGTCGCAATTTGAATAGTCTCTTTACCACCGGATGTCCGTTTTGATATCGTTATAGTTTCTTTGTGCTGTGCTGGTTCACCTTCGCTAGAGGATTGAGACATTTGTGTCTGAATTTGTGCATCTACCGGTTGATTATAAGTAACACTAAAATCTTTAGTAACCGGTTCTTCAACTGGTGAAATTAAACTCCTTCCAGTTTGGGTTTGTGTGTGTACTCCGGATTGTACCACCTCTCGAACGAGGAACTCTTCAGTTACTTTCTTCGAATCCACAGGAACAGGAGTTTCTTCTATAGGCATAGAAGCAGAGTCCAACGTGTTTTCTAACGATAAATCTGGTGTCTGAGTTGGCTTAAGCCTTTCTTCTTTCAATTCGATCAGTTGCACCTTTAGTACGTCTATATTGGTTGTTATAATGGTTTTCTGTTCCTCAAAAATATCCGTTAATATTTCAAGTTGGTTAAGTAAAGTTGAAACTAATCCTTGCAGATCCGGATATTTCTCAAATTCTTTACAAACTGTAGCTAATTCTCTTAACTTCTTTTCTTTTTCTTCGAGTTCTCGATTTAGTTTCTCAAAATCTGATATACAAATTTCAACCTGTTTCTCTTCGGTTGGTTTAATGAAATTTTCGATAGTTGTCCGGGTTGTTTCGAGCCACACTTCTATTTCCGTCAGAAGAATCTGGTACTGAGTCAGCTCTTCCTGCTTCTTTATTTGCAGTTGCTGTGCGTTCTGAAATAGAAAACATTTTTATAAATTAAGTTGTTATGCAAAGGGACTAAAATTAGCGCGCGTTCGCATTTGTACCTATTGCACTTCCTAGAGTAAATGACAGTGGAGCTAAAAATACCCTCTGGTGATGAACTAATACGAGTCAAACGAGCTCTGGTGCAAAAATGCGATATAAATTGATCCGAATGGAAACTGACGCCAGGAATAAAAAACCCAGTCGTTATTTGCTAAATTTAAATTCAGATATGTTGTAAAAGAACTGAATATATCCATAAAATAAGCGGATTTTACTTTGTAGGTGGTACAGATTTGGTTAAACAGCTTAGTTTTATAAATAATTATTTATTTATAAATACCGACCTTACAGTGAATAAAAGATATTCAAACATATATATTTGGAAAGTTATACATATGTATGTTTAAGTAATAATATCGGTAATAAGTCATAGAAGACCAAGAATAAGAAATTACGAATTTCACTGCATGTTACTGTTTATTTATTTAGAAATACAATATCCTATGGTAAATCTTAAGTACAGAATGAGATGAAAGAGAAAAGCGAAACCTAAATTAAAAAATATAATAAATCTAAGATAAAACGTAAAAACAAGTTTAGCAGGATAAAATAGTAAAAAATAAGTAAATAATAAAGTCGATCTTCATACTTTTGGTAATTGGAAATCATTTGGTATGACGCCATTAGTAATTTTGTACGGGGTGTGGGTAATTGTAATGCAGGGTGAAATTCAAAATTAGTTTAGGGACATGATATAAAATCTTTAAGAACAATGAATTCGCTTTTAACGTACAGGGTGATTCACTATATTTTGACCCCCCTTTAACTTTTTTGTTTTAAGAGTTATAAAAAAATATGAAATACAAAAGTTGCACGATTTTTTATGAAGTTTTCGAAAATGATAGTAGAAAAACAAATGAAGTTCAAACAAAATGGCCGCGGATGTTAACTTTGTTAATTTAAATGGAACACCCTGTATATTTTTACATATTTGGATAGAACGTTCCCTGCCGAGCACAGTTATATATGGTTTGTTGGTCCATCTTTAATAATAAGCGAGATAATATTAAAAAACGAAAAGAAGTTTTTTTTATTTATTATAGGCTACATTATATTATATTAGTTATAAAAGTCTAGAATCACGCAAAATAAAGCCCAACTTTTTAAATGTAAACTTGCTCATTAAATGAAGATGTTCATCAAATTTACAACCAAATGTAACACCAAGATCAGTAAACTGAGCAAGTCTTATTTAAAAAGATTCCTCAATTTTATAATAATTAAAATCTAGAGTAGTTTTGGGTCAACTGTAGGAATACATTTGCTTACATTTAGAGGCAGATTATTTGAACACCAACTATTCTAGTGCAATTGATATTAAGATTTGACTTCCATAAACAACTTAAGGTCGTCCGTGTAAGTAACTGACATCAAGGTATTCAGTTAGATCATTAATAAAAATAGTAAACAAAACTGGCCCCAGAATTGATCCTTGCGGAATCTGTTACTGAAATAAGATGTAGATCGAATGCTTTGGAAAAATCGGTATACACTTAATTTCCGTGTATCCAAATCTACAGTAATAGGGTTTTCTCAATAAATCCGTGTTGGTAGGAAAGCATTAATATTTCAACATGAAAATTAAGTTTAAAAAAATTTAAAGAAGTGAATAAGTGAGACTATAGTCGCTTTGAAGAAATTCAGCTTTCACGGACAAAATTTAGCTTACTAGGAGACGAAATAGTATTTTGGATAGCTAGAAATGAAAATGCTCACCTTAACTAGTATTCTACCGTTCTCAGCTTGCGAGAGAAGCGTTGCGATGCGCGTTCGGATACCAGCAAGATGAGCTGCCAGAGACTGCGTCTCGTGGTCGGAGGTCAAGCGATTCACATGACCTTCAAGGCGGATTGCCTCCGCCGCATGCTTCTTCAGATCGCTGGTTATGTTCTGGAAGAAAAAAATAAAATGTTACGATGCAATCGTTTCCTGAATGATGAAAATATTTAGTTCTAATCACAATAATTAATCCTACAGTATATTTTATAGAGGTAACAGCAACTACAACGACATGGGTATAGTCGTGTACAAAATAAAACAGAAACTTTTTATTGTCCACAGCTTTATGTACCCTTTATTTTAATTTGTGTGGGAAGAAGCCGGAATATTATTATCACGGAGTTGGTGGTATGTTTTTTTTCCTGCGGAGGAAATATGCCGAATTAATACAAAACCAAAACCTCTATCACTACATATTATAAAACAAAGGCGTCTGTCTGTCTGTCTGTCTGTTCGCGATAAACTCAATAACTACTGCACCGATTTTCATGCTGTTTTCACCAATGGATAGAGTGGTTCTCGAGGAAGGTTTTAGTATATAATTTGTTAAGTTTTTGTATACATTAACGATATTTGTTGGAGGTGTCGGAAAAAAATAAGCCGTCTGGGAGCTTTTAACGAAAACGCTGCCTAAACCCTTTGAGATATAACAAAATAATGTATAGTAGAATTGTGTATCTTATATAGGTCTACAGAAAAGTTCGCGATGGCACATGTCTATCTCTTAAGGATAACATACTATATCCATTTTAATACTTTAAAAAATGGGCAATTATAAAGCGGTAATTGGAAAGCTATTTACACAAGTACGGTATTAATCCTTAACATTTTAAATACGTTAGTTGGCTTGAGCATTTCATGAAGATTATTTTTTCCCTTTACACCATGCAAATTAAATGAATACCTTAGGAGATATAGTAAAATCAAAATAATGCGCAACGAAATTAATTTCGTGTCGCCGTGATTCGACCGGGCCCCGTGACCCCGCGCATCGCGTCCGAGCCGGGGGGTCCGAAAGTTTATGTAGTGCATCAATGTATGGTGGAATTGTGTATCTTATATATGCCTACAGAAAAGTCCGCGATGGCATATGTCTATATGTTCCAGATAACATACTACTTATATCCATTTTAGTACTTTCAAAAATTGGCAATTATAAAGCGGTAATGTAAAAGTTATTTACACAAATACGGTATTAATCCTTATCATTTTAAATAAGTTAGAGGATTTAAGCATTTCATGCACATTATTTTACTCTTTTACACAATATAATTTAAATGAATATCTTAGGAGTGATCGCAAAAAAATTACGGACGCGAGAATAATATTCAAGCGCCGCCCTTCGCTTGATGCGATCGCCGACCCTCCCACCGCACCGTCTTGCCTACTGTTTAGCTAATAAGCCGAACGATAACGCGCGCGTAATCCTTTAATAAACTGACTTGGAGCGAATGGAGGTGACGACTGACGACTGTGTTTTCTTTATGGATGTTGTTGGAAAGTTATAATTGCGTTTGAAATTTTAAGGTCACATTTTTGTTTTGTATTTGTTGTCTTTAGGTAGTCGGAACATACATAGATACTTGCAAACATACTTTTATTTCATTGAGTTTTAATAATTTGTTTGTTTTTTTCTTATTGTGAATCATTTAAATTCGTGTTTGTTTTCTTTAGGTACATAGTTAGATACCTAAATACTTACTTATTAATTAAAATTGATAGTCTTGAACATAGGTACTTTAATTTAATTCGTTTTGTTTTCACATTGTTGGTAGTTACCTATATTGTTTTAAATTTAAAGGTTTTGCATTTTTAGTTTTGAGTTCGTTTGTTGTCTAGGTATATAGATATATCGTGAATTATTTTAAAATTAATATTAGGGTCGCATTAGATGAAAGATGATTGAATTTTTGCTTGTTACGATTTAACTCAAAAACTACTCAACCAATTTTACCGAAAGCTACATCTCCTCGGAGTAACATAGGCTATTTTATATTTGCTCGTGTGAAGCCGGGGCGGGTTGCTAGTATAAAATTAAGCTAAACCTGAGTACTTTGTTCGATAGTAAGTGTAATAGCGTTTTTATTTGTATAATATCAACAATTTATTATTCAAAAAAGAAATATTCTATATTTTATGTTTGTTTTCAGAAGATTTTGCATAAAATTTAATGAGGGGGAAGTGGACCTCATTGCAATAGGCCTCTTGCACCAGCCGGATTTTTTATTTTAGTTCACATATTTAAATATGGCCTTATTTAAAATTATTAATTATAAAATCTTTTGTGAAATATTCTACTCGAAAATTGACTAAATCATACATTGAAAGTTGCTATTGCTGTGACGTCATCGGTAAGTAAACTGGCCGCTCCACATTAGAAAACGATGTCGGTCCTATGACTTCTTAAAAAATTTATTATTTTTAGTTTACATACGATACGATAACTATACTGATGTGCTGTTATATTTACTAACTGGTTTCCATTCTGTTATATAGGTATACCTAAATATGCACTTATGTAGCAAAATGATTAAGTCTGTGTAGGTATAATATTTAATTTTTACGACCTTTAGTTCAAGTGAGCTTTCCGCGCGTAGCATAATATTATTTACTACCTAAATAATATTTTGAATCTAAATTTGTTATTTTAAATAATCATTAGTTTTTAGTTTTTTAAAAATTTTCAAGAATATTTGTAACATGACCGAACAAGGTTATGCTAAAGCCTAATCAGACAATTTACCGAATTCCATGATGATTGCGGAGTTTTTTTCGAAAAGCATTTTATTTTCTTCGGCAAAAATAAGAGGAATAAAAGCAAACAGGTATGAGAATGTGATTTATAGGTATCTACATAAATTTATTTTAAAATACATTTTTTTCTGGCGCTTTTACTGTTGTATATTCACACATCGCATCAGTGCAATGCATCAGTAATAGTATGGTTTAGAGGGATTTGCCATATTTATTATAAGTTTAACTTAAAAATTTACACTATATAAGTATAAGGTATCGTACTGCTTATTGACACCACTCCACACATTTAATAACCAAAGCATAGTCAGCTGCACTGTCGAAACGCGTGTATGTCGCGCTTGCCATTTACTTACCGATGACGTCAACCGATTAAAACTTTAATATCTAATAATTTTTTAAAAATAAATTAATATAACAAAACCTTTACACATTGTTTGTAGTATTCAGTGTAGAACGAAAACTATTAAAAAATTTTTTCTGCAATAAGCCTATTAGGTATTTAGTTTCGTTTAGTGAAATTCATTTATAATAATAAAAACGAGTATTAACAGTATTTTGTATTTTACATTATAAACAGACTTTACGGGTTCGTGAAATATTTAATTTGTCAAAATGTTATTCTTTAAAATTAGCTTCTTATAAAATAAATTATAAAACAACATATTTTTTCTATTTATTTGGGTAGGTGTTTTGTGGAAAAATTAAAAATTAATGAAACAAACCTTAGTGCCAAATGGGCTATTTTTGTGGAATTATGTTATATATAAATAAGCAGGTTAAAAAATTTCCATTACTATATAATTTTATTTTAAGATAGTTTGCATAGATTATGCAATTAAGGTGAAGTTATGTATATAGTGAAGCGCATTGTTATTTCTCTGTTTTTCTGTGTGAGACTTTTAGTAAGACACAGATAATGCTACAAAACAAACCTATATTGGTCTTTTCGGCTTAAGGGTTAATTCATTATTTTTTTATTTGTTTCAATTTTTTCACAGGTGGTAAAATTGATAGAGTAAAATAAAATTATGTTGTAAATAAATTAGTCATTGTTAAAATCAAGTCTAACTCCCTTAATTCAACCGATAAATTTTATAGGATGTTTTTTTTGATAAAAAATAACACCAAAATGAATAACCAAAAAGGTAGTTATAACAAATATGGTAACTACTTATACTTCAACTTCATTAAATGATACTTAAAAAAATATATTGCTAACAGGTGATCTCCAAGCTGCTATATCTTTTCAACAAGTCGGAACTGGTTAATTTAAATTTTCACCAAAGAACCCTCTGCAGAATTACGGTAGTCGCATTAAGGAATACCCTGTATATATTTCTTCATTTTATGAGAAACACATTTTAATAACGAAAGCATTACTAATGAAATTTGATCATTAAATAAGAAAATGTAACATTTTCAGGTCACCCTTACTGACGGGGTCAGTAAACGGTTTAAGAGATATCTGATACTTTTGACTCGTAAGGTATACAGTGTATTTCATGGGCTCGGCACTCATTTGCAAGTATGTAGTTCCTTTTTTTCTATACATAGATTGTAAATGACTTAAATTTATTTTCATTCCAAATTGGTTGTTAGGAATCATCATCAATAAATATTTATGTCTTTAAAAATGGAGGCTTGTTATATATTGACATTGAACTTGAATAATTAAAATCATTTATGTATACATACTGTTATAATAATCATATGATATAACAATCGTCGAGTTTAAAATTATTATCAACATATTTTTTCATAACAGAGATTGCTGGATGTAAATAAATTATTATTAATTATTCCAGAATATGCTCGGCCAGATAAAAGTGCTAATTATTTACATCTGCAATCAAGGCAGTTCAAAATATCTACTGAAGCACACATTTCTTCCAGTGCCATATTAGTAAATTCAACCATTTTAGGACAGTAGTTATTCTTTTGCTTATTATCTTGTATAAATGCTATCAACAATTCAATGTAGCCACGTAAATAAACGGTGATGTCATGTTTTAGCAATTAACCAACACCACTATGTTTAAAAATAAAAATAGTGCTTACACACTTTTAAATATTCAAGAAGTGTTAATTTTCCCGGTTAGAGTTCACTCAAAGGAAAAGCAGACTACAGTTAATTTTCACTGGGTGTGAAATTAGCGGTCTATTTTAAAATACATACTATACTTTTGAACTACAAGATAGAAGTTTTCAAAATAGATCGTACTAAATATGTCAGTAGCCAAAATGTAAACTTTGATTAGAATCACACATAACAGCTCGTATTATTTGATAAAAAAAACCGTTGTTTCTTAAAAATTTATTCATAATCTAAAGAACCGTGACTACGGGTTGCATTT